CGCGGGAGCCCGCCGCAGCCCGCCTGCGCCTGCGCCCGCGGAGCCCCCGGGAGCCCGAGGTCAGGGACGGCCAAGCCCCCCAGGGCAGCCCGCGTTTCGCTCCTCTTACCCGGAGAGCTTGTGTCTCAGTTCAGACCCAGTCTGATTTTCAGAGCTGCTCTTTGCCGTTTGGTGTTTCCGCGGGGCACTGCGGCTTGAGCGCGGGCTGTGCCTGCCTGGCAGGCGCTTTTCTCTGTTTGCTTCACTTGTCAGGTGAAGTCCAGAGGGCGGCTTTGCCTGGACCTCAGTTGTCTTCATGCACCTGTGTAGCTGGGTTGAGAAACCACCATGCCCAGCCTTTTTGTTGAGACGGGGTCTCACTAACTTTTTTTTCTGGGCTGGCCTCAAATCGTCCTCCTCCTAATAGTCACCTTCTAAGTAGCTGGAATTACAGGTAGAGCCATGGCACCAGGACTTGGCTTCTTGACTGTTAAATCTATACTTACCAGTATTCAGTTATTTCCTAAAACAATATGTAGCGTGATCTAGTTTCCTCCAAATCATCACTTCCAAAGTTTAATGTATTCTGAGTTAACTGTCAGTTGGACTGCTGACTTTGTCCATTTATGTCTATTATTTTTGCCAGCTGTGCTTTGTATTCTGATGTCTCTGTGTGTGATGTGGTTAGAGGCCTTTGTGTGTTGTTGTTGTTGTTACTGTAGGGAAGTACCTGGGACCAGCTGCTTAGGAAGGGAAGAGGTTTATGTAGCTTTCAGTTCTGGCATGACACCAGCAGAGCTCAGCTCTGATGAGGACCTCACGGTACCTTGGCAGGGGAATGAAGCAGAGAAGTCACTAGAAGTGACTAGACAGGAAGCCAGAGACTTATGAAAACTGTCCCCTGGAGAGCTTGCCAGGTCACAAGCAAAACATTGAATCCTTCCAGAAGGTGTGCCCCAGTTAACAAAGGGCCTCCATTAGCCCCCACCTCTTAAGGGGCCAACTGCCACTGGACTAGGCCCCACCAAGTAAACCTCAGGGGGAGGACACATTGTACCCACAGGAGGCCTCCTGCAGAGGAGCTGTGAGCAGTTCAGTCTCTTTGATGGAGGAGCTGTGTTCAGGTAATACAGTGACATGGCACGGGCCTGTCTGATGTTCCAGGCCCAGTGCCCTGGCTGTGCTTGTAACCACCCTTGTAGTTTCTGAAGTAGCACATGTCACGAATTCTGCAGAGCAGCTGATTGCTGACCTAAAAGCTGACAGTGATGGTTCCAGTAGTTTTATGCTAGCTAGTTCAGCTCATGTTTTGTTGCTATGTGGATTACTAGAGCCCACTTTTCAGAACCTTGTGGGATCAAATATAGCTAAGGGGGCATGAGTCTGTATTCCTCAATTGCTGGATGTCTTTAGGAGAACAGCATGTAGTAGTTCACCTGCCTTCAGCAGGGCTCTTCCTGGCTGTACTCTTGTCAGTATTTGCTACCTGTACTACCTTTCATGATCCAGTGTTCATTCCCTCCTCTTGGAATGTTGCTTTGGGAACTGGGAATTTGTTCCTGGTGATAGCCTAGTCCCACACACTCATTGTCCAGTGGATGGATCAATTACATTTTTTCTTTTTTGGACTCAGGCATTGCACTCTTTCTTGGCTTTCTCACTTAAGGCTGGTGCTGTCACTTGATCCATACCTCCAGTTCCAGCTTTTTGCTGCTTAAGTGGAGGTAAAAGTCTGATGGACTTCTTTGTTATTCGCAGGCTGACTTTAAACTTGGATCCTCAGATTTTGGTCTCTGGAGTAGGGTTACAAGTGTGAGTCATTAGTGCTGGGCTGATTTCTTTAAAGAAATTCAGTCTTGTACTTACAAATAGTCCTGAAAAACATGCTTTTGTCTTTTAATAGTGGCAACCATGAGTGGAAAAAACTCATTTTGACTCAGCATTGGCCTCCAACAGTGTGCAAGGTGAGTTCTTCTGTCTTACCTCGTCTATGATCCCGTGAAGCCCAGTGAGACACAAATAGGCCTGACTCATCTCCTCTCTCCACACTGTGTCTTATTTGTCTCCCAGGAATGGGAGGGAGTGGACTACAGTTGCCTGTCTCCTGCCTGTTCTGCGTGGTGCTGATCACACCCCCCACTTGAGAGTGGCTTCTCTCTGTCTGTGGTTCTATCTTGTCTCAGCCACTTCTTCTATGGTGCCTTTGCTGAGGCTCTGCCTGTTGGAGCAGTGCCAGCCGGGTGCCCACTCCCAGTCTCTGCTCTGGCTCATCCTTCTCATTAGCAGTTTGAAAGACATTCTTGATATTTACTGCACAATTACCTCAAGCTGGAACTAGGTTTATCAGTAGTGTTTCTGAAATTTTGGCTTGAGAGTTTTAAATTGTTAAGGTCTCTTAATGCCACAGGGTGGAGGGCAGAAGCTGGGAAGTGGAGGTGATGGGGGGTTGGTAGCTGGTACTTGAGGGTGTAACCCACTGAGAGTGTTACTTGGTTGTTTCCTGCCCTTTATTTTGCTTGAACTTGGGGACTTGTGTGCTCATTGCCTGACTTTTTTGCTTAAGGCTAAAGCTCTACTACTGCTGGAGCCACAGCTCCACTTCCAGCTTTAAAAAAAAAAAAAAACTTTAAAAAATTGTTATTTTAAAGGTGAAGTACAGAGAGGCCACAGTTACGTAAGTCAGGTAATGAATACATTTCTTTTTAGACTATGTCACCTGTTTCTCTCCACTGCCTGCTTTTTGCTGTTAATTGGAGATAAGTCTCACAGATTTCCCTTCCCTTGCTTTAAATTACCATCCTCAGATCTCAGCCTCATGAGTAGCTAGGATTATAGGCCTAAGCCACCATTGCCCAGCCTAATCCTACTCTGCAGCGCAGGTCCTGGGGCTTGAACTCAGGGCCTGGTCCCTGAGCTTTTTTGCTTAAAGCTAGCACTCTACTACTTGAGCGATAGCTTGGCTTCTGGCTTTTTGGTGGTTAAGTGGAGATAAGAGGCTCATGGACTTTTCTACCTGGGATGGCTTTGAACTGTGATTCTCAGATCTCAGCCTCCTGAGTAACTAAGATTACAGGTACCTAGCTCTAATCCTACTCTTGACCTGGAAACTGCTCTGTAACATTATCTCCACTACTAGACTAGACACTATGGTTTCAATTTTCCAAACTTGACTTGCTGTCTCTTTTTCTCTTCTACTGTTCCTACACAGAGTGAGTGAAATGAAAGTATGGGGCATGAACTCATAAGTTGGCTGGGAGTCTGGTTGGTGTCCTGGGAATTGAGGAATAGTGAAGTCCTTGGCTCCAGCCAGAGGACCCGTGTACAGAGGAAGAACTGAGACCCAGGACCAGTCTGGCTTGGCCTGGCCTGTGTGAGAAATGTAGGTCTGTCCACTGGTGAATGTGGCTGTGCAGGCAGCTGCTTTGCCTTAAGGCTTTAGAAGTGGGGTTTTAACAAAATTAATGAGTTGAAGAAATTTCAAACAAGGTGACGATGGGGAAGATGTTCAGCCTGCCTTCCTCTGGCACTAGAAGCTGCCTGTGGGCTCCTGTCTGTAAGATATGCATGATAGGTATAGGAACACACTTGTCATGGTCTGTACATGTCCTCAGTGCATGGTACAGTCCCTCAGAGCCGTAGTGTTTGCTGACTGAATGGAAGAAAGCAAGCTGACCCTTGACCCGGTTACTCCTGTCAAGGCAGACACAGAAACCTGGACAAGAAGCTGAGCAAACACCCACATTCTGTGCTGTCTTTGCTCTTAGGGGCTGTGCAAGATGAAGGAAATGGGGTTTCCTTAGGCAAGGAATTGGAGTGCTGGTGGAGGGAAAGAAGGTGGCCTCTGTCACTCCATTCCTGCACTCAGTTGCCCAGTAGCAGGCAGCTCTCACCTGGCATCTGTCACCTGAACCAGGCCCTTGGTCATCCCTAGTCAGCCATGAAACTTCCTCTCCTGAGAAGCCATGCAGAGGGGACAAAGCTGGGGAAGGCAGAGCATGAGGCCTGTCAGCCAGCCAGGCTCCAAGTTCCGGGATTCCTTTGCTCAGTCACAGGGTGGGGATGGGGTGGCTCTTAACTAAATCATTTGTAGGTCTCTGAAAAGGTTTTGCTATATTGAGATTTTTATCTTGACTTTGTCTTCCTTAAGTGGAGGGCAAGGCTGTACTCCTGAGTTTTACTTTATTGTGTTGGTTGGCTTCAAGTTTTCAGTACTGATTATGTCACAGATAGATTTGGACCTAATAGTGGAACAAGTTTGATTGTACTGGTATCAGCCTTTGTAGTTACTTGGTTCCCTCAGCTTCACTGTTAGAGGACAAGCCTAGAACATCTAGCCCTGATATAGTTTTCTCATGAACACATTGCAGATATTGCTACCAATACCGCATCACCTTATTGTATTAGTGTACCAATGTCTAGTTAGTCTATGAAAGAAAACAGAATTGCTAAGTGTATTTAAACAATGAGCCATCTTCTTTGTGTCTTTTCTCCTAGGAAGGTAACAGCTGTCAAGACTCTCTGGATTACTGGACGATCCATGGACTATGGCAAGCATCTAGGGCCATAAAGCCTCATTAAAAGTCAGGAGAAGCCAGCCAACTTGAAATTCCAGCTTGAGTCTAGTCTTAATAAGTATACTTATTGTTTTTGATAGGAGTTTGTTCAGTAGACATGATCTGTATTTAGAAATATCTTGAGTCATTCTAGCATAACCGTAATTTTGTTGTTTAATTTTACTTGGATAAAACAATCTCATTTCCATATAATACATTATCAGTATATAGTGAGACGTGTTTCTGTGTAGGGGGCTAACTTTGTTTTCCTGGTTTTATCCGCATTCTCACTAGGTAGTTTTTCTTTGTGCATGTGGTGTGTGGTGTTGGGCATGTGCTTGTGGTATTGAATTCTGCCTGTTAATTTGTTCCCTGGAAGGCTCTCTTATGGGAAGAGGAGTCCTCTTGGCTCCTTTGGTACCCGTGTTTCTTGGGACCCTTCCTTCTGGAGCCTGGGCAACTGGCTTCCAGTTCCACTTTTCCTCAGGCTTCTTAGGTGTCAACCTTGGTGCCCTTTTCTCTCTTAACTTTTGGCTCACTGCGTCTGCTGCCTTCCTGTGTCCTGGCTGTGTCTGCTCTTGATGGCATTTCATTTCTGAGGCGGGAATGAGAATCCACACAGCTTCTCTGACCTTCCAGGGTGCAGTGTCAGCCACTTGCCAGGCCTCAGCATCCTGGTCGGTGGGGCTCTGAGAGGTCTTAGGGTCAGTGTGGCGCCCTCTGAGCTGAGCAGCTCTGAGAAAGGAGAGCTGATGTGTCCAGAGTCAAACTTGGAAAGGCAGAATAAAATTCAGAAGCAAAGACTATGAGAACATATTTTATACCGAAAAATAAAACCAGGTCATACTAGTTGACCTTGTTGTGGGTCAGGCACTTTGTGAGCATGTCAGCTGTGCATACTATCGCTCTGCATGGTTACAGCATTTAGTGAGGCAAAGCATTTTGGAGTAGGGTCAGACAATTCCTAGGCTGCTAGCAAGTGCTGAGGCTGGGTTGGCTTCAGAGTTCCCCCTACTGGGCAATTTGTTGTACTTCTACTAAAAAACTGGCCAGGACATTCTGAACCCCATTTCTTTCCTCTTCAAAAGAAACTCAGTGTGCTTGTGTCTAAGCATTCTTTGTTAAACGTTTTGTGTGGGAAAATTAATTCTCAGTTAGGACTTCTTCTTTTGTTTGCTACAGATTTTAATGAAAATATAATGTCTTGTAAAAGCTGTCCTAACCCAAACTACTGTTTTTATATCTCAAGGCCTGATAAAGGAGAAGAATGTAATCGATCATGGCACTTTAATTTGGATGAAATTAAGGTACTAACTTTTAGTTGTATTTCTACTGCAAAAGAGTGTTATATTACAGTAATTCTTCTCATGAGTATATATTCAAAGTCATGCTTAAAACATCAGGGTCATGAATATACTCATTTTAATTAAGCCCTTGTGGCCTTTTTAGTAATTACTGATAGTTAAAATAATCCCATAAACTAAAAAAACAAAATACAGACTTTCCTCCTCTTCTGCCTGGGCCCAAGCCCAGCATGTGAGCTGTGGGCAGTGAGCCCAGAGAGGCAAAACATGTCTTGGTTGTGCAGACAGCCAGCCCCAAAGTTCCCACTACCAGAGGCTCCTGAGTCAGTACTGAAAGTGAGTATCTGGTGCATGTGTCATGGTGGACATCTCTAGAGAGGGTCCAGAGAGTCAGCACGTGGTCCCTGGCATTGACCTTTCTAGCCATGGGTGATAAGTGTTTCTAAATAGTGAATATGATCAAGGAACAGATGAGGAGGCCTTCCAGTATGAAAGTCGCTGTTAAAGAGTAATGTGGTAGAGCAGGCTGAGGGTGGAGCTCTTTGGTATAGTGCTTGCCTAGTGCTTGAGTCCTGCCTTCCATCCTCAAGGAACTAAGTTATAGGTTTAAGTTACAAGTTTACAAGAGTGGCACAGGTGGTGTTTGTTTGTTTGTTTGAGATGCTTCACAAAGGAATATGGAACCTTCCTGTACAGGTTCAGCTTTCCTTGCTGTGTACCAACAAGTCCTTGTAGGTTGTCATTCAGGAGAAGGAAAGTTGATGCATCTCGGGGAGGAGGGTGTGTAACAAGCTGACGTAATGACTTCTGCCTTGAGGGACTGCCAGTCTTGGTAGCCATGCCCCAGCTTACTCAGAACAGTGCTGGTTTGCTTCTGTTGCATAATGCGCGATCAGAGTTTGCCCCACACAGAAGTGACCTGGTTTGACTGTCTCTGTAAGTCATGCCCAGATGGCTGATGCCAGATTGAGGGATGGCAGGTAAGCAAAGCAGTGAGACCCTGGGTGGATAACTTTGGTAAAGGGGCCCATCACGGCTGTGTCCAGAGGGGACAGGGAAGCCAGGCATGGTGTACTGACAGGAGGACCATCATGGGAGAGTGGGAGACAGGAGGCTAATGTTCTTCTAAGTTTATGAGTGATTTTTTGGGTCTGATGAGCACATGGGCATATAGAAGTTGGAATTAGCGTAACCGCAGGAAGGTGCTGGCTGCCTGTTCAAGCCTTCTCTGCAAGGCTCTGCAAGTGTGTGTGTGCCTATGCGTGTCACATTGTTTTCCCTATTAATGTCCTCCTTCAGTGTGTTGTATTTTATCAGAGTTGATGAGCCAGTTCTGACGCCTACCTGAAGTTATAGCTAGAATTAGCACTCACGCCTGAGGTACACATTTATGAGTTTTGACAAGACTCAAGAACAAGTGTCCGGTGGAGCAATTTCACTGTTTAATGATCCCAGGCCCACGTTTTCCTTCTCCCCCTTTCCTCCCAGGACCCATGGCAGCCCTTTCTCAAATGTTGGATAGTTGGAATTGTATATGATGTAGTTTTCATAAACATGCTTTTATGTTTCCTCCCTTGTTTTCATGACTTGATATCTATCTCTCTTCTCCCTCTCCCCTTCCTCTCTTACACCCCTCCCTTTGCCTGGCCTGGGGCTTGAACTCACTTGGGTGCTGTCCTTGAACTTTTTCTAGTGGTTAATTGGAGATGAGAGTCTCCCAGACTTTCCTGCCCAGGCGTGCTTATCTCTATATAGAACTGAGCATGATTTCACTGTCTATATGTATCACAGTTAGTTTAGCCACTCACCTATGAGGGCTTGTATTTTCACATGAATTTGTGCACTTAAATCTCATTCTCACATATATCTGGAGCACTTCATGCAGAATACATGTATAATAATTTCACATACCTAAATTAGTAGAACTTGAATTTTTTATGTATTAGTTTATTAAGTTTGCCCTCTAGGTTTTGGGTTTCTTAGGTCTTGCAGAGGCTTTTGTTTTTAACACAGGATCTTTTGCGGGACATGAAGATATACTGGCCCGATGTACTTCATCCACATTCTAATCGCAGCCAGTTCTGGTAAGTGCAAGTTTCTGGCAGTCATATCACACATTAAAGCACGAGTGTGTAGAGCTTCCTAAGAGAGTATTAAATGACAGCTGTGTGGGAGGCACAGAACACAGGCAGTGGGACTGTCTTCTAAGGCGCAGCTGTATGAACAGTCTTTTATGCCCCCACCAATGAGGGTTGTGCTTTATATTTTGTGTGTGTGCCAGTCCTGGGCTTGAACTCAAGGCCTGGACTTTTTTGCTCAAGGCGTGAGCCACAGTTCCACTCCCAGCTTTTTGTTGGCTAATTGGAGATAAGAGTCACAGACTTTCCTGCCTGGTCTGGTGAGGTTTACAGGCATGAGCCACCAGGTTTGGGTCATTTTAGTTTGGCAGTTTAGCTTCATGCATTGTGTTTGGGCCTGAGTAACTCCTGAGAAGTAGGTGTCTCTCATTGCCTTGATGATGAGTCCCAAGATATCTGTCCTTGTGCCTAACTCTTCTTGGAGGGCTAGTTAGGACATCTCTGCATATAGATGGCAACACTCTAAAGCACCCTGGGTAGTAACTATATGACTGTACTTCTGCATTACTGTAGTTCAAATATTTTTTCCTAAATCATTTGCAATTAGAAATTCTTTTTATATTGGTAAAATATCCAATTGAAATAACATGTGGCTAAGTATTTTGAACTGTAGCTTTAACACATTATCTCTCTAGTATCTGTTAAGTTGTTTGCTTCAAAAATAATCGTTAAGCTGAGTGCCAGTGGCTTATACCTATAATCCTAGCTTCTCAGGAGATGAGCTCTGAGGATTGTGGTTTGAAGCCAGCCCAGCCACAAGGCACAAAATCTGAAAGACTCTTATCGCTATTAACCAATAAAAAGGTGGAACTGTAAGTATAGCTTAAGTGTACCAGCTACAAACAAATTGCTGAGAAGCTCTTAAGTTCAAGTCCCAGTACTGGCATTAAAAAAAAAAGTTGACATTTGGATGTTACTGGGATTTGAACTCAAAGCCCTGTGGACACCAGTTGCGGTGTGCCCCAGACCTAGCAACTGTAACTCGTTCTTCTCCCCAGTAGGCCTATGCACTTGGTTCCAGTATTCCTGTTTTGCCAATACTAAGTCACTCATAGTTTGGGTTTCACTATGTTAGCTTGAAAGAATATCCATTTTCTGTTCCATAGAACATGGAGAGCTAGGGCTGGGAAGGTGGCTCAGTGGTAGAGCGCTTGCCTTGCATGCATGAGGCCCTGGGTTCGATTCCTCAGCACCACATAAGCAAAAAAAA